CGGAAGCGTTAATGGATCTGCCCACGCCTGCAGTTGTGGTTCCAAGTAAAACAGAAAAAGAGAAAGACCGACAGCGCCACGCTTTCACTTGATTGTCAGACAATTTTCCATGCACTTTCGTCCTTTATTCATGGCATAAGTCACGTTTTCCATTTTACACAAAGCCCTGTCAGTTTTTTTGTTTTGTCTAACACGGTGGAAACAGATGTATTGGTCTGCCTCCACCTCGTCTTCCCTGTTTCCGAGAGAGGAGGGACCGCTGCTCAATCCCAGTGAGTCGGGGCAATGTTAGTTCGCGTTTGAACATGGAACAGAAGTTAACATGATGAAGCTAAAATATGAGCATTTCAATACAAAAGGGTCCTACCGCCAGCCATCAATAACATTTCGCCGACTTTTACTCAAAAACGGTAGGAGGAGGATAGAAGAATGTGCTCCCCTTTTTCGAGCTTTATAACTTTTCTGCGTCAGGAACCGTTGCATGGACCGGAATAGGTGGGCGTCTCGGAGGGGAAGGAAACAGTTCCTAAGGGTAATTTGTACCCTCCATCGATGGACGACCTTCAGGGCGTACAGCCAAGCGCCGCGGTGGAGGAATCATATAGCCGTCGTGTTCATATTTTTTTTAGGGAGATCGTGCCAAGTCTGCATAAATGGCAGTTGCTCAGCTCAGAGCTACGTCCCTGACCACTCGGCCCTCATCTCGTAGCTCATTATGGGGGAGGGGGAGTTTTAAATGGATCGGATTATGGGGTTTGTCTTAACTAGAGGAGTACACTAGGTCACCTATCGAAATACCCTTCTTATCCGTTGTGACAATCAAAAGTTAGCAATGTTTCCTTTGACTGGACGGTTGTTCATTCTTCCTAGTGCTCTTCACGCTCTTCACCTATGCTGGCAGGGATCACTCGCCTTCTCCAGACGACCTTCTCCACAACCTGAGATCCCAGTAGGTGATCCTCTTTCTTCGAACTCTCCTTACAACTTATGGGCCTTCAGAACCATCTGCGACTCACCAGACCCATATGCTATTACATACTATGACATACACGACACTGTCTTAATAATTTGATATCTAGTGTGGTTGATATCGTCGCAATCAGGATGAAAACAACCAAGGGTGAAAGGTGGCTAGGCTCACTCCATGCTTCCTAACACCGCTCCGACTGACTACGAAAATACCAGTTGTAGCACAGCGACTGGTACTCTTATAGGCCATCTTGCATTGCTCGAGGTCGTACAGCATATACGCGTATAATCAACCAGGGAAGTCCACCAACTTACACGAACGTCGAAACTTACCACTGAACCATCACGACTCGATTCGACGTGTGCGATTCCTCACTTAGCCTGCGTATACTTTGCGGCAGCGTAACGCATGGCGTAGAAGTCTAAGGCGCCTCAGCGTACGCCAGCGGCAGTGCCGGGGAGAGGATGCATATCGATCTAGCGTTCCCAGCGTCACCAGCGTAACGCTAGCGTTTCACCAGCGTTTTGCTAGCGTTTGCAGCGGCAGTCGGAAAGTAGAGACTATGGGAGAGCTGGAGGGTACAAAACACATCGATTGCGCGTCTCTCACTCGCCCTCAGTCTCTACAATACACATCGATTCCGCGTCTCTGACGGCCACATAGTCTCTACCATACACATCGATTCTGCGTCTCTGCACAGGCCACAAATGAGAATCTCATACAGATAGCGCAACGATCTCTCGCGCTTTTTCTACGCCAACATCAAGTCTCTACGCAACTGACCGCTCCTGCAACACAGGCCAAGGCCAAAACGACTGGTAAAACGCATAGACAGAAACGCTTGGCGTACGCTAGAGCGTTACGCTGGTGACGCTGGGAACGCTAGATCGATATCCATCCTCTCCCCGGCACTGCCGCTGGCGTACGCTGGAAGCGCTACGCTACGCTGCCGCAAAGTATAAACGCAGCCTTATGCTTCACAGCTCCAGCTCACCACCAAGCCTCCACCCTACTGCACCATTACAAACTTTACCTGCTCATAAGTTGCTTGTGAAATGCAGGTTGCAGTTTTGCTATCTATATTTGTAAATAACCTTATAGACTCTATCGATCTACCCAGGTCTCCATTCAAAGTTCCATGGTAAGTTGGCGGACTTCCCTGGTAAGGACTCTAGTGTCTCATTTTGGAAGAAGAAGAGAAAAAGAAAATGATGTCGCTCTGTTCAAATGAAAATTATACGGGTCGTAATCTGAGTTGCGCGACGATCAAGTTGCCACTACCACTAGCTTAAGCGCAACTGAGATAAGAGAAGGCGTTTCAAATCTTCTTCACCTAATAAATGACTTAACAGTTGTACCACTCCTGCTTACTCAGCTCACTTTTTTTCTCTTTCTTTTTTCTAGCTGTCTTTGTTTTCCTCAGAATTCCCTCAGTTACATAGATTATGACTTCTTATTTCAGGATGGACATCAAATCTACGCGATCCAATGAAGGGCTCCAACTACAAAGCCGGTGACTTGATATTGGGATTCTATGGTGGTCTGTGGGCTTATTCTGGATGGGACGTACTCAACTACAGTACAGGAGAAATCGCGAAACCGAGAAAGTTAGCTTTTCCACGAAAAACTTTGATCTTCATTTTTGTAACTGCTCACAGACCAATATTAGTAAATCATTAATATTGAAAAAAAACACTTCGGAGCTGTTACAGAGATGTTCTGTGAATATTTATTGACCTCTGTAATGCATTTTCCTTCGCTCTTTTCTTCGCAACATGGAAGAAATAACCTTTCTCCTAGCCCGACTATTTTGAATTCCGACGCTAGTGGCCATGGGGAGCGCTACGTTCATTCGCTAGGTGGCTTCCTGCCGGATCATCTGTGGGGA